TTGCCATAAATAAAGTAACAAGATTAAATCATAATTGTTTTGTGCTCTTCTGTGAGGTTTTGGGTTGTGGGTTGGGGTGTTTTTGTTTGGTTTGGGGGGATTTTTTTTTAATGTGTTTAAGGGCACATCCTTTATTAGGTAGGATGAGGACTGATTTCATAGGCAGTATCTCAGGAGGAGTTATGTTTGATTCCAAGTTGTAACTTCCTAGGTTCCCTCTCACCCCCAAGAATATTCACTATTAAATATTTCTGAAATACTTCTTTTCTGGCTGAATTTTGAACAACTCAGTACAATATTTTATTCTTGACAGAATTCAGTGTCTTAACAATTTAAATGTAAAAGCTAGTTTTATTGGCCATAGGAAATTCAGTTTGCTTCATTTTTTAATGTGATTAGTTTGTCTTTAAAGGAAGCTCTCAAGTCTGGTTGCCTGGAGCCCCCCAAAGCTCTCAAGTCTGGTTGCCTGGAGCCCCCCAAAAGTAGCTCATTCTGCTTCTGGGGACACTGCTGTGCTGAACTTCTCAGGCCTCAAGGTAGAGAGAACGTGCCTTTTCATTCTGTGTTATTAAAACAAAAGGGAAAGAAAGCAGTAGAGCCATTGTCAGTCTCTCTTAAAAGCTGGTATGCTTACTGTATGAAGTGATGTTAATGATGACCTTGTATTATTACTGCAAGGAAGTCATAGGATGAGCCATAGATAGAAAATAGCAACTGCTCTATGTTGTGTATTATTCCGTTATAAAGTAGTCCCATTAGTCTGTTGGCAGAAGCTGGCAGTGAGAATTGTCTGGAATCCAAGGCAACTGGCAAAGGAAAGTGGAGGGAATAAAATTATTTCACGGCTGAGGGAAACACAGAACACAAAACCAAGGAAACTGATATGAGCCACACGCAGTAATGTCAGTTGTGATTGTGCTCCTACAGCGCCTTCCATCCCAAAGAGCTGCATAATTATCAATAAAACAGGCCTTATGGTGCCCCTTTTGACACAGGTTAATTTTGTCAGACCTATCTTATAAGAAATTGGTATGAACAAAGGGGAAATTACTTGTCCATACAAACAGTGATGAAGAAGGAATAGTGTCTGAGGTATTGTAACCTCCAGCCTCTGACTCCAAAACTACCAGGCTGTTACATCCCTGGGCAGAAGTGCACTGTGTGCCACACATGGGAGGATCCTGCTGACTTCTACGAGTCAGTCATTAATGATATTATCTAGTGGATATGGTGTATTAAGATCCAGCCATTAACATATTTCTTTTGTTGGCTTTAGACATCTTTTGCTTAAACAAGCAAAATCCAAACCTACTCAGGAAAAAGGAAAAAAAAAAGGTGTCAGAAGTTTTGACTTTAGCTTCCAGGCAATAGACAGTAGGAATGTCAGAGCTTATCCAACCTTGCTGTGTCAGGAATACTCACAGTCACTAAAAGGTGGAAGAACTAAATACCATTAGAAAGCAAAAAATAAATTTCAAAAAGATACAAAACATCTAATACCTCGTGTGAAATGGGGCATCTTTTGAGATTCTGGCCTGGAGCCTTCCTGGAGTCTGAATGGGGGGGGGGGAAAATCACATCTAAGTGTCTGTGGTGAGGCTGATCTGGCTGGAGGGAGGATGGAACTGCTAGTAAAATAGAAGGCTGGGGCTCAGTGTGTCTCGGTGACGTTTAGGATGGCTCAGCTGCTATTCAGCACAGAAACAGATTTTTGTTTGTTTGGGTGGGTTTTTGGTTGCGTTTGTTTGTTTGTTTTGTTTCTTCTTTTTAAAAAAATTCTGCTTACCCCTGCGATCACTCTGACTCTGAGCACTTTCCTTCCCTTGGCAGGAGACACTTCAATCTCTCATGACCTGAAAGTTCCTTATCCTCTCCTGATGTGCTTGAATTCACAGGCTTCTGTCATATCATCCCTTCCTCTCACAGCAATGATGGCACGTGGCAGCTAACTTACTCTGAGAACAAGCCCAGAGTTATGTCACTGTTAAAAACTACTTGCCTTGCACCTAACGCCAAAATAACGGTTTATTCTGATCCCTCATTGGATAACCTCTCACCCTTGATTGTGGAGTTTACAACTTTTTAGGAACCAGTTATCATGCAACCTGGCCATGTGCCACTGTACTAATAACTATAATTAAGAGAAGTTTCATAAAGACATAGCTCAGCAAAATAAAAAAGCTTTTTATTTTTTTTTTTGAGGAATGAGGTCGCATCAGGATTTGTCCAAATCACTTCTTTAACAGCCAACGTATGTGGTTGACCACCTGCGTTTTTCAGAGAAAACCAAACATGAATCAACTGTGATTAATTAAGAAAAAAATACCAAAATTCTTACTTGAATGTGAGGATTGTTCTGATAGTCAATAGAAAGTAGTTTATAAAAATAGCTTAAAGCTAAGGTTTAGTTAACCTTTTTAAAATTTTGCTTATGGCTCAGTGATGTTAGAAAAATAATGTAAGTAAAATGAATGTAGTTACATGTTTGTTTTTTGGAAAACAAGTAACAATAAGGGTTCCTGGATGTTCAGTATGTTCCTCTGATCACATGGGAGTTTTAGGTCACAAACTAAATAAGAGACCTGACATTAAAAAATTGTTACAAAAATTTAACAGAACAGTCAGTTCAAAAATATAAATAAACATTGAGGACCAAGATTATTGTTCTTTTAGCTTCTCCTTATAAAACCAAAGGTTTGTTTGCTTTTTAAATGGGCCAGTAAAATTGAATTGGCCCCTGATAGTGTATGCGGAATAGGTAGTGGGGAAGAATAAGCTGTAAGAAATGAGCAGAGGAGTTTAACAGATGAAGATTTTTCAAAACTAATAGAAGACAGATAGTCTGTAAAAGTGTTAAATCTTAAGGATCTTCAGTGAATACAAACCTGCATCAGGGGAAATAAGACTGGGCAGAATCTTTCTCCGCAAGTACAGAGTCTACTTAAAAAACTAGTAAACTAGGCCATTAATAAATATGTAAAAGAAGCCTCATCTGTGAGGTACTGACTCAGTGTATGTGAGGACACCCCGCTCTGCTAGCCCTACTTCGGGGATTATTCCCATGGAATTAGAGTGCTTACACGCCATTGAAATGATTTGGAGACTGCCAGACTTCCTAATGTCGGCTTTATTTTTCCCTTACTTTTCACCTGGAAGTTAGTGCCTTTTATTTGTTACTTCAGCAGATAATTTTTATGGTAGCTTTTCTACTTTATATCCTGCTGGTATATGGTTTAACAAAATGCCTTTTGAAACAGTGTATTTAATTCCTCCGTCATGCCTCTGGGAATAAATTCTTGCTGTATTGTAACTTCCTTTACATCTTTTCTTTACTGTAGTCATTGAGAACTTATGTAAACTTTTCTTTCAGCATCCACAACTTCTTATTCCCTCCCGGTGCCCTGTGTATGTCTCTTTCCTGTCTACACCAGCTGTTATTTGCTGCTGGTATCCACGACTGGCCATGTGCTGTTACAGTGGCTTAAACACTTAAAGAAATTCCTTTAATAGCATTTCTTCTTTTCCATCTGGATCTTCAGGAAGAAAATCGAATTTTCACACCTGACTACCTGTTTGGGGTATTATCTATGATGCTGTGTCAATGAGATGATATTGTGGAGAATCCTTTTTAAAATTACTTTAACAGGCTTTAGTGATTCTGAATGGTAGCATTTGCAGTAGGAAATGTTTCATGATGGTACTTTTGGAAGTAACGATGCTGTATATTTCTGTGTAGAAATCATGTCGTCTTTACCGGTAATTACTTCCCCTTGCCTTTTGCAAAGTTAAATATGCAGCGTTTTGGCTAAAGTGGTTAATGGGGCTTGTTGAAAATTGCTAAATCCAGTTCTAGAAAAGCAAAATTGTTAGCATTGAATGAACATTTTTCTGGGAAACTTATTTTCATTACAAATGGGCTTTGCTCATCTTAGTCCAGAAGGGTTTTGATTTGGAAGTGCTGCTATGCTGTACTCTGTGTCTGTTGTACAATCTTTATTATGAACCAGAGCCCCAGCATCTCGCCTGTCGGGCTCCCTCGCTATCTCTGATGCAGTCTCCCTCCATGGAGAGAACCCAGGGTCACGAGATATTTGCTCTGTTCCTACAGAGTTGAACGACAAGAAACTCTTTTCCTTGTAACTCCCGTGAAGTTGACCACACTTATAAATTGAATTACTTCCATTTTTGTCCTAAACAGTCATTTTTCAATCTCTATAAAGTATGGGAAATAAAGTGTTTCGCCAGATAAGTACATGTGAAACAAAATACCATAGACTGCGTTCTGATTTTTTTTTTTTTCCTGGTGCTAGATGAGTTCCTCAGGACACCAGAATGGTTAATGACTAAAAGTTTGGAGGTTAAGGAATACCAACTTTCATCCCATGAAGCAGTGTGTTCCTCATTTGTGTTGTCATTAATGAGCCATACACTTGCTAAATTTCTTCGGAAAGATTTTAACACTCAGTGAAGAAGCCACCACAATTTCTCACTAAAAAAGAGCATGCCCAGATTTCATACAGAGATTTCAGAGTTGTGGACTGTGAAGGAATAAAACATGCAGATTTCTTTGAATCGGGTTGGAATCAAGGTAGGATACCAGGGAAAACTATCTGATCATTTTGAGTTTTAGGCAGGCGTGACATACATGTTACGTAGCTGCTAACGGAACTCTCCAGGTGCTGCTCAAGGGAGCGGAGGTATTTTACAATCGAGCAATGTAATCCCGTGTTTGTTTCTAAAGGATATGGAGAGATTAGTGGACTGTAACAATACAGCAGGACAAATCACAATCAAAAATGTGCTCAGACCAGTTTCACTGTGACAAAGTGGGTACAGCTCATGGCTGCATTGAAATGAGTATGTATTATCTCATGAATCCATTCCCTGGGCTGCAACATAGAATAATTTCAGTATTGCTTAGAAGGCTTACTTCAAATATGCTCTGAAAGTTTGTTTGCATTCATTATATATGAGATTTTTAACGAGACTGTCTTTGTTAGTCTGTTCACAGTTTTCCAGAGGAGTTTATGCCATCTTTGGATTCTATGATCAGATGTCAATGAACACACTGACGTCGTTTTGTGGAGCCCTTCACACATCCTTCGTCACGCCCAGCTTCCCAACAGATGCAGATGTGCAGTTTGTCATCCAGATGCGGCCAGCATTGAAAGGAGCCATCTTGAGTCTCTTGACCCATTATAAGTGGGAAAAGTTTGTGTACCTCTATGACACAGAACGGGGTAAGTAGAATAATTTTAAGTGATTATCCTGTTTCATAACTTGCTACAAGTATTACCAGACTCAGTATGTGCAGCCCATCCGGATTTTCTTGTGGTTCTGGGTAGCACGTTCTGATGGTCTTTAGAAAACAAGTTTGTTCTGAAGAAACTAAAATGAATAGACAAAAGAAGGCATCTTCATATTACTGATCATTTGTAAAGAGATTATCTGGAGGATAGCATTAGCAGTGTAAGCATTCAATTTGGAATACCTGGTTTCCATGGAACCACACACTCAACACTTGCCAAGGATTTTGAGCCCTTGCAAAATAAACAAAGGCGGCACTGTGAAGTAGGCTGTTAAGCAAGACTCTGCGTGACATTGCAAATCCCACACCACTTTATGTAAGTACACATTTCTTCTGTCACCAGACAAAGACAATCCATGCTTTGATACGCTCTGGAGATGTTTAGGTGTCAATAACATCTGTGAATATCATGTGTAAGGTGCTTTAGAGCTTTGTTGGAGAGAAGATGTTCTAGCTATGTCACATGGATATCCAGAAATTAATTTAGATACACGACAAGAATGACCAAAAATATGTTTTACTAAATGAGAATATATTAAAACCAGTGTTTGTGTGCTTAAACTAGTTGTTAGCTATTAAGAAATATCACAGGTAGCAAAATTCTATCCAAAAGATATCTAAGCATCAGAAACCATTTTCTGTGAGGGATCTTGCATATTTCTGTGGAGCAGCTGTTGCCACCTGCTCTGAGTGTACAGAATTTGCTCGGGTAGCATATTTTACATCAGATTGATGTGCCACTGCCCTTCTTGCCAGCTTTATGATTAACAATTCCAAGACCACCTTCAAATCAAAGGGGTCTGGAGAGAGTCAAAGAAACTTAGATTTCGTTCCCAGCTCCCCTGACAGAGTTTGGTAACCTAGTTTACTGCATATCAATCAAGTCTTCAGTGGCTGTGACTTTCCCACTGAAGATTATTAGCATTACCCAACTGAGGACATGCTGTATATTGAAAGAAATTATTAGTCTGATTTTAGATGAATGCCAAGACTTTGGATTTTCTGAGTCATTTGGAAGTGTTAAATACTTCTAGCACTGGTAAATGCTAGCTATGAGATCAGGTAGGAAAGTATGGAAAAGTTAAGAATGTCATTAGTTTTTAGATCTTTAAAGCCACTACCCAAACATCCATATTTCTGGTTTAGTCCACTCTTAAATGAAAGCTCCTGTGAATATGCCATTTGTCTGAGTAAGAAAGGTTTGATGTGACCAAATGCGATAAACCTACGGCATGTGATAAAATGTTGTATTTTCCAGGACTGATGAAATTTATGATAATTAAGGCTAATAAAGTTTGCTTTGGAAAAAGATGCATCAGTCATCCAAGATGTTGCCTAATAAGAAATTTGGCACTTCATACTGGAAAAATAATCCAAAACAGTGGGAGTTTCGCTTCAACTTGTCTAGATGATGCGACGCTCAGGCTGAGATAGTAACGGAAGTCACGAGGGAAGACTTGCAGGCTCAGACTTGCATTTTTCCACAGTTCTCAGTGGGTACGATCTTCAGGTAGATGCAGTCTAATTATGAGCTTACTATGATGACTAATCCGTTTGGAACTGTTCAGGTTGTGTCTAGGCTTCATTTGGCTTTGTTCATACTAAGATTTTAATCACAGGTTAAAACACAGCTCTTGCTGATGAAATTAGCCCTAGGAGTCTGACTTCCCTTCTGCTGCCTTCTGCCCCTTGTCTTGGCTTCCTGTTCGCATCCTGCTTGCAATCCTACAATTACAAACCAAAGTCACGTTGTGAACGTACGGCGACTCCCATGCGTGTTACGCTAGCTGTATGTTGTGTCAGACATTCAGGCTGTCAAGAGTATGAAATCTGAACTGGATGACATGTGACTGTAGAATTAGAAAATGTAGCTCAGGTTTAGAAGATAAAGGACAGCTGTGTCTTTAGGATGGAAGAGGCATCAGTGCATATAGGTAGCTTGATGTTGGGCTTTGAGTTGTTTGGGGTAAACCTACCAGGTTTTATCGGTCCTTCGTATACAAATATCCTTGCTATTGTTTAACATATTTGCCATCTGCTAAAATAGGAACATAACCAAACAGATTATTATCTTCAGTTACTAATGGTTTAGTTAGATTAAAACAAACGTGGTGGCAGTCTTATCAGAGTTACAATTGCTGCATTCTTCCAGTATTGAAATAAATTAAGAAGATTCATATGTGAGAGAGAGGCAGGACAATTAAGTACCAAGGAATAGATATTAGACCCTTTGTTTGATGAGCTGTAATCATAGACGACAGCACCTGAAACTTTTAGCAATTCCAGTGGGCTACCTAATTTCTTGTGATGGGTCTTCAAATACACAAAAAAAGTCCCAAGAGGTTGAACAGTAATAATGGTGAATGACTCCTTGTGTCGGGCATTGAATAGGCTGTACGTGTTCCTATGCTGAGATACCATTGGAAATGAAAAGATTAGGGCTGTCACAATTTTTAATAATTCCTTTCTTAGTTACTTAACTGCTTTGGGGTACAAACACTGTAGATAGACAGTGTTAAGCAGTCTACTGTCAATTCTTCATATAAATTATCATTTAAATACTGCCTTTCTATGAAGATGATTATCTCACTGGTTTGTTCTGAGAAATCATAAAACATTAGACTACTCTTTCTTACCTTGGTAGTTAGTTGTGGACTGAATTGTTCTTGCAAGTAGTTTTTCAGTGTTCTGCTGATGCAAAAAACTGCCATGTATTAGAATTTACTATTAATAAATACTGCAGCATATATTACAGATGCCATACAAAACCGAATAAACCTCCTTGTGGTTTTATACTGCTTATTGAACTATTTCAGTTTAAGTTTAGGAGAATGAGAATCAGCTTTATATAATTGTTTTCTTTAAGCAGTGGCTTTTTTCTTTGCCATCAGTTCATATAATCATATGGTTTCCCCCTTGGTGACATTAGGCACAATACTGTGATGTTTGGTTCCTGAAATGAAGACAAAAGATAAATCTCAAACAATAGAATAAAGTTAAGATCTACAATTACATGGATAGGTGATGAAGCTTTTAACCCAGTGAGTTAGTGTGTGCGTTGTATATATTTAAGTACCTTATTCTCTGTTGCTGTGAGTTGACTGAAGGTTGCAGATTGTGCTCTCAAATATATATTTATGTGCAGGTGCAAAACCCAGTGTCTCTAAAAGCTGCTAAAGCACATAGAAAGAAATGTTAAATGTGAGATTTATAAATCTCACTCTCCAGCAGCAAGAATTACATCTTATCATTGCTTATTTCAGTAGCTGGACTTACTTTTCCGTGAAGAAACTGAAATTTAAGAGAAATATCAAATGGCATGTTCTTTTCCTAGTACCACCAGAAAAAAAAATTACACATTGCAGGGAGTAATGATGTACTGGGAAATGGCTGCTAAGGGAGGAGAGGGCTTTAAGCAGCATATAGAAGAAATAGTTGTAAGTTCATTCCATGCCACATGCTTTTAGTTCATGTGAAAAGGAAAGGCAGAGTTGATTTCTGTTTGTATTAACTCACACCAGTAAGTTGACACTGTTGGTTGCTGTGATGAGTACAAAATATCTGATTAATTATATGGTGCTAACTGCCTCAGTAGGCTTCTCTGCAGTAGAACTAAGGCTAATTAAGATTATGTCAGGATGAAATGAGATGGAGTTACATACAGAAAGCTATTAAGAATTTGGGTAGCACTTGTCAGGAAAGTCACCTTTTGCATCTCATGCTGAGGATTATGTTTCATCAAAAAACTCAGGTTTATTTCCAGTCTGCAGGTCTGTTTCTCCTCTTGCTTTGCTTTACTGTAAATCAGTTGTTATTCCACTGCAGTCAGTGGACCGGAGTAACACTAGCATGCATGTGTGCAGAGGTAAGCTTGTAGTTTTCACAGTCACCTTAATGTTGTGTGAAAGTGTGAAGCACTTCTCATTTAATTATAAAAATGCTAGGGTAGGTTGTAATACCAAAGCTTTTGTTGTATTTAAATTTCCATAATGTTTCTTAAGTAAGGTTTCAGTTTATTTTTGCCTGAGAAACACTGTTTTGTACAGATTGTTCAGCTTCCATCTGCCGGTACAACACAGGCATTTTGTCCTGTGTTACTTTGATTTGTCATACCTACTGTGCACAAAGACATTGATTTCTGTCATGCAGATCTGTTAAACAAAATCACACCAAGTGAATTCTGTGATGTGCACCAAGTCTTCTTCCTCTTCCTTCAGATCATAGAGGGCATCACAGGACAGGAAAGTGACTTTGTGTAATGCCTACCTACACCATGGGAGCTCAGGCTAGACAGAAGTACAGATAGATCACAGTCTTTATGGCATTATAATGAAATAACTCTCTAAATCTGAAATTCTTCGGTCATTCAGATTTGATTCAGTCTGTCAGGAGGTATCTGACAAAACCTAAAATCAAGGGGAGGTGGAAGATTTGGTAAATAGAGTTATCATTGGCTAACTTTTTTTTTTTAATTGGTTAACGTGGGCTGGATGAAGGCTGAAGCACAGACATGTTTATCTAGAGCCCCAGTTTATATGGCTGAGTTGAAAATGTCTGCTTTAAAAGCAATTACATCTTTAGTCCTTACTGCCACAGAAACACAAAAATTTGACTTGAACATAACGGATGGGTAAGGATGCAGAAGGCCTGAAAATACAGCTTCAGAAGATATGACCTGTCCTATTATTCTTAAATATAAAACCGTCTGGTACTCTGCATAAAGAAATGCCAAGTAAAGACAAAAAAAAAAAAGAGGTACAACTGCAAGCTTCTCGATGATTATGTATAAGGCATCGAATTGCTCTAAATTGGGTTCAGTACAAGGCAATGAGGTCTGATTCACTACTTCTGCTGAAGACAAAGAATAACTCTTCTGTTCAGTTCTGCTTGTACAAAATGAGGTTAGTTATCTATTGCTATCAAAGGACAAGACACTTCTGTACTGCTTTCCCTGGAGAATGAGAGCTTGGAGCTGATAAAAGGAGCGGTATGTAGAACCAGGGTCATATGTTCCACAAAATTAAAATGATGCCTTTCTTTTTTTTTTGGATGAAATAAGAATTGCACTGAAAATTACTGATATGTAGAACATAATTTTTTTTTTTTGTAAAACATCTGGGTTAAGATTAATTTCTGTGGAATTTAAAAAGACTCTGCTTTAGTACCTGGTGGATTCCTAGGGATTTGGGAATGTTGGGTTCTGTTGGACTGAGTCTCTGCTGAAAACAGTGATGAAGAATGTAATCCAACACAGAATGACTGACTCCATCAGCAGACAGGTACAAAACTCCTTCCCCATAGCTCATTTGTTAAACCCTGTATTGTCTTTCTGCATGTCAGCAACTTTTATCATTCTTCAGTGAAGGGGAAATATGAAACTGGTGGTAGCAGCTACACCAGCATTAGTAAACCCTGAATCTGCTGAACAGTCAAATGTCAAAAGAATCAATAGCTGAGCTGTTCATTAACATGTTTATTCTTCAGAGCAGGGGAGTTATTCCACTAGCTGAGGAACTGGTCTGAATCCACTGCACAAAGGAAAAAGGATTTAAGGCTGCCTCACAGTTTCTCAGAATTATACATGGGCTTGTTCCATTTTAAAATCATAGTTCTTTCTTGCTAGTATGTTATACCTGTTTAATTCTTCTCAGTTGCATCCAGAAGGTTGATCCAACGTGTTTTGCTTACACTTTCAAAAGTATGAAAGGATTTAAAATCTTGACATTATCTTCTGTAAATATCAGTCTGTGGTGAAGAATTAATGGAACACACAAAGCATGTTTGGAAGCCTGTAAAACAATGAAGGTGTCAAAACGGGGTAGAGTTGCTGCAAACCTTGATTCTTCTGAGTTTTTTTTGGCTCGTTTGCAGAGTGTTTTGGACAGCAGCCCAGGATCATGGGGATGACATGTAGACAATATAAATTGCTAGCATTTAGGTAGATGTAGATGAGCTGTCTCATTCTCCTTTCCCACTTCTCTATATACTGGGGAGTGAACAGCAGGGAATAAAATCTTGGCACGGCCTCCCGAGCTGAGGCTCGGCCTCTGTATCACAGGAACAGGCATCACAGGTCTGTAAGTTTGAAGAATCTTGTGCCCCAGTAACTGCCATCCAGAAATTTTCTTCTGAGTCATGATCTCATCAAAAGGCAACTTGCAGCATGTGCACAAAATGTTGCACATTTGCATGGCTTTGCGTACAAGGATGTGGTGTAGGTTCAAGCTCTGGTACAAAAGAGAACCTGCACAGTGTAGAGACCCTTATGGTAGAAAAATCCATTATTTAGATTTAAAGAACAATCATACTCCATATAGTTATTTGCAATAAGAAAATGATCCGTTTCTTTCACTATCAGCCTTTTGGGAATGAGTGATTTTACAATCTTATAATGCGTAGAATTTCTATTTATATAGATTGGAAACTCGTAGGTACTGCTTAGCAATGTTTGTATGAAATGTTAAGTAATTTACCCTGACAAGGAGGCAAATTTTGACATTCTTTTTTTTTGTGTGTGCATTGCTTCATTGCTTTCAGCAGTATAATGTATGAACTATTCAGGAAGCATGCCAGAACCTTCACTGAAATATTCCAGGATTGCTTTACTTGTTTCACTTTACTGCCTAAATGTGTTTGGGAATAATCTGAGCCTGAACAGTTAAATCTAGCTTTTGATAATCACCCTGCATTTATTTCCTCTGAAATCACTAAAGTCTCATACAGGCTTCTTTTATCTTGGTCTCTGTGGTACACAGATACAGAAGAAAGCCCTTTTACTGATCCTTCCCCAAACAAACATTGAGACCCTGTGTGGGAGAATGGATATTGGCTGGGTTTTGGGTGGACTGAGAGCCTTAAGCATTTTTCTCCTGATCTTTCCCATTAGCTGCTATTTGTTTAGCTTACCCCTGGTAATCACTTAAACCGTTTTTGTAGCTTATGACAAGAGGAATGAATCAACTTTGAAAGTCATCCAGCATAAGATGTCTCATACTGGCAAGACTAAAATGCAGCGGAAGACCATCAGGATGGAGTTCCTGGTGGTGTTCTGTACTGCAGCTTTGTGCCTCTTTGCAAGTTTTGTATGCACCCAATGGGCTCTGATGTTGAGATACCCAGGCAAAATGCCTGAGCATCCCTTGAAGCTGTTGGAAGACACACCACTGTCAGCAGTTATCTTCCAACAGTGAAGTAACTGCACATGTGCAACTGATTTGTGTCTTGTTTCATGGAACCCCTGAGAATGAGGAAGTGTGTCAGCCTGTCCATGAAGAAAAGCAGGAACACCACAGCAGGAGCATGGCATGATGAAGCCCTGACACTGCTCGTGCAGTGGTGATGTGAAATTGGCCATTATTCCATCCACCCACAGCGGTGCTGTGATAGGGTGTTGTGGTAGCCTGCCTCACACTGAATGTGAATCTGGTTGTGGTGGAGAACCAGGTTCTGACCTCGCTTTGTGTGAAATCAGCTTGTAAAAATGAGTGAATGTTCAGGGATACAGAGTATGAACTGGGAGAGTCATGGAAAATAATTTCTGGAAGTCTAAAGCAGAATGTGTGCTACCCTCGTGGTCCTAATGAAAGCAACTGGAACTCTCGGAACATAAATTGAGGCCCTGAATGTCTTGTGTAGTAAAGAGAACTAGCAGTGTTGTCACTCACCCATGCTATGGAGATGAAACCTGCAAATGATTGTATTTATAAGCTGATCTGTGTAAATGCATGTGTTCAAATATTTAGCCTTTCATAAATGAATGTTTTAGCAACTTTTGGTTTAGCCATAAATATTTTTTTTTATTGTATGCACAAGTAATTTAAGAGGCAGAAGCTTTTGTTTTCAGTTGATTTTTTGTGTGCATCAGCAAGGCTTAAATGGTCAGAATCTCATGTTTCCAGATTTCTTGAAACAAAATAAATTTCAAGACAGTTTCCAAGTGCAGGTGGAGGGAGGAAAGGCTCCAAAGATATGTGAGAGGTGTTGTTGGCCCTTTTGCTCTGAGACAAGGGCAAGGACTTGACACAAAGCCAAGCTTTAAAGGGGCTGGAAAGGCTGCACTTGGAAACAGAGATGATGAGGTGAAATTTGTTTACCTCAGAGTGGGGATGGGACTTAGAAAAGAAAATGTAGAAAAGAATACTTATATGCAAAGTAAATATATATCAAACCTATTTATTTAACCCATCTCACCCAACAGGTCTAGGAGTTTACTTAGTTACTTTGAGTTTATTGTTTTACATCTGTGTATGCAGCATAGCTTTAAAGGCTGGAAGCCTTCGGTGTCCTTGGCATCTGGATGCACAGAGCAAGGTGGGCTAGCTTCACCTAGGGAGCTGTGCCGATACTGATCATGAAAGCCAACTGTCTTGTTGACTTAAAGTCTGTGTAAGAGGATTGGTACTTTGAGTGGGACTGACAAAAGCAGCGCTGTTTATTAATGGAATAGAGACAAAGCAATGTTCAGATGATGTGTCAGAGACATGTGCAACATTGCATTAGTATGTGAACTTTACATATTTCAGTGGAATAGCATGTCGTGGTTATCACATGTTTTCTAGAGGAAGAAGATTTTGACACCCTATACCCTAATGCAGTTAAGATGGCACTATTTAGCATGCCAGTATTCATAGAATCATAGAATCA